GGGGTTGGGGGGAACGGGGCGTGGGGAGGGTATTGAGATGGGGTGGTCATAGGAGGGATCTGAGGGGATCCAGGAGGAACTGGGGGGAACTGATGAATGGTGGGTACAGGGAGGATTTGGGGTTCCAGGGGGCACTGGGGGGATCCAGGGGGTTGAGAGGACCCCAAGGAGCAGATCGAACAGGAGGGGATGGGCACGGGGGGGATTTGGAGTATCCAGGGGGAATTGGGGGGATTAGGGAGGATTGGGGTACATGGGGGTTCTCTGTGGGGGAGCAGGGATGGTCATGCCCCATCCCAAAGTTCCCCCCTCTTTCCTTTGGGAAGGGGGTGCTGGGTACCCCCCCCTTCCCCAGGCAGGCCTAGTGCCCTTGGCCGTGTCCCGCTGACTCCCAACCATCCCAAAAATAGCCAGGACACCCAGGCCTGGGACTGGAAGCGGGGGTGGGGAACAGAGCTCTGGGGCCTCCGCCCTCCCCTCCTGCTCAGGGGGACCCCTACCCAGCAGGATGACCCCAAAACCAGTCCCTCTCAGCTCTCCCTCTCCCCACAGATCCCGGGATCCAGGATGGGCAGTGCTGGGGGGCTCCGGGCTGTGCTGGTCCTGCTCCTGTGGGCCCTGTTCCTGGTGGGATCAGCAGCAGATGGAGCCAAGGATGGCCCAGAGGGATTCCAGGGACACGCTGGCACTGCCACCATGGATGACCTGCTGTCCCGGCTGGGAAAAGCCTCCTGGGATACCCTGGAGGGCTGGGTGGGACCCCAACCCCTGCAGATGGTGGCGGAGGTGGGATCCCCATCCCTAAATTTTCCCCTGCATCCCCTCCAGGAGGGACACAGAGGGCTGTGTTTCCCCTTTTCCCAGGATAATAGTGGGATCCTGAGCCCCCAGACCTTCCCTGAAGCCTCTCACGGAGGGACCTGGGGGGTTGTGTCCCCTTTTCCCCTGGCTGGTGACAGTGGGAAGGTCCCAGTCCCTAAAGTTTCCCTGGAGCCTCTCCTGAAGGAACACAGTGGTCTGTGCCCCCTTTTCCCACTCTCCTATCCCCATTTTTCCCACAGAGCCTCTCTACCACCCTGTGGATCGTTTCCTCTGGAATCTCAGCAGCCCTGACCACACTCTGTGGGATCCTGGCGGATCTCCTGGCCGCTTCCAGCATCGGCGGTGAGTTGGGATCATCCCCCGGGATGACTCCGGCCCCCATTCCCGGTGCCCCCGGTGACTCCCGTCTCCCATTCCCAGGCCACCGGCTGGTGCGAGCGGCCGCACTGAGCCCTGGGGAAGTCCAGCGGGTTCTCCTGTGGGCCCTGGCCGCCCTGGTGGGATCCTGGGTGTTATCCTGGCTCCGGGGGCTGCTGCTACCACTGCTTCAGGGGGTGAAACTTTTCCTCTTCCTCGGAGCCTTCCTCCACGTGGCTGCTTCCAAGGAGAGCCCCACGGTGCAAGCAGGAATGCTGCTGGCCCTGTGGGTGCTCTATGCCCTCCTGGGGAGCCTGCTGGGATCCCAAAATCCCACTGCCCGGCTGGATGTGGCTGTCAGGAGCCTGGAGTGGAAGGTAGAGGAGCTGCGGCGGCGCCAGAAGTTTGGGGGGCCCCGGAACCGGGAGGATTGACACCCCCCTGACACCACCAAAGCACTTCCCAGCTTGGCTCCAGAATTCCAAGCATGTCTTCCCCACCCCTGCTGAGCCCCCCCCAGTTTTCCCGGGAGTCCTGCTCCTGCTGGGAGCATCCCTTCCCAGAGCTGGGGGGCCGTGCCTTGCAAGTGCCACAAGTGCCTTCACCCCGGGGAGGAGGGTCCCCAAACGCCACCTCCCCAGAGCCCAAATCCAGGAGAGGAGCTCTCACATTCCCTGCTCCACCAGGATATTGTGCCAATCCAGCCCAAAAAGGGGGGGTTCTGCTCATTCTGTGGGGGCTGAGACTCCCTCTCTGTGGCGGGTCCTCGCACTGCCAATCCTCGGGGTTTCAGCTGCTTTTTAAACGGTTTTGATAAATGGTTTGGAATAAAGATGAAAAATGGTTTTTCCGGCCTGGATCTGCTGCTTTCCATTGGGAAGGGGGTCCGGCTTGGAGCTAGGAGTGTGGGGGCTCCCTTGGGGGACACACTTGGGGTGGTAAGGGAGGAAGAGGAGGAGGAGGAGGAGGAGGGTGGGTTATTCATGCCAGAATGGTTTATCTGTGCCAGGATCCCACTGCCTTCCCATTCTTCCTGCTGTAATTCCCACTCACTCTGTGCTCCTGGCCACGTCTGTCCTGGTCCTCCCCATGTTCCCAGTGTCCCCCAGCGTTTCCCAGTGTCCCTGGTTGGAGTGGGACAGAGAAGGACGGATAACAGCATCATCCCACCCTGCTCCAGAGTGTCCAGTGCTGGGTGGGGATGGGAATGGGATGGGGAGTGGGGATTGGGAAAGGATGGGATGAGGATGAAGATGGGGAGGAGATGAGGATGGAGCAGAGCTGGGAATAGGGATTGAGAATTAGGCTTGGAGGGGGATGGGGAACAAGGCTGGGACTGGGGAGCAGGGCTGGGAACGGGGAGCGGGCTGGGAATGGGAGCAGGGCTGGGAATGAGGAGCAGGGCTGGGAATGAGGAGCAGGGCTGGGAATGAGCAGCAGGGCTGGGAATGGGGAGCAGGGCTGGGAATGGGAGCTGGGAAGGGGAGCGGGGCTGTGCCTGGCGCCGCTGCGGGGCCGGAGCGCGGGGCACGCCGGTGTTTAGGACCCGGCAGGACGAGGCGGCGCCGGTGCCGGTCCCGCCCCGGCCCCATTGTCTGGGCGCGGGGGCGGAGGGACGGCAGGCAGCGGCGGAGCCACGGCAGGCACCGGCGGCACCACCGAGCCCCCCGGCCATGGCCCCGGGGCCCCGCCTGGCGCTGCTGGCGGTCACCCTGCTCTGCGCCCCGGGTGAGTGGGAACGGCACCGGGAACGGGAATGGCACCGGGAATGGGAACGGCACCAACACCGCGATCCCCCGCGCCGATCCGCTGGGATCCGCTCCCGCGTGGTCTCGCGATCCGGGGCGATCCCCCCCTTCCCCGCGCTCGGGATCCCCTCGTTCCGCAGGGATCCACTCCCGGGAACCGGGACGACCTGACCCGTCCCCCGCCCCTTCCCCGCGTTCGGGGTCCCCGGGATCCGCTCTCGCCAGGATCACGAGAATCGGGAAGAGCTGATCACCCCCCCGTGCCTTCCCTTCCATCCGCGCCCCCGTTTCACGGGGATCCGCGCCCCTTCCACCGCCTGAGATCTCCAGCGGATCCCCCGGGGAACGTGGGATCCGCTGTGATCTCGAGGGGGAATATTCTCACAATCCCCACAGGATCCCCGCAGCCCGAGGCTATCCCTTCCCCCGGGATCTGCCTCGCCTCCCTCCCCGGGTAGGGTCGCGTGGAATTTGTTCCTGGCCGAGGGATCCAGGGTATCCAGGTGCCCAGGTATCCAGGTGGGATCTGCTTCCTGTGATCTGGGCAACCTGAACTGGATCACACCTTGTGGGACCTGGTTTCATCCCTCTCCCCACCTGCGTTGGATCCCCAGAGGGCTGGAGGAACCAAGGGGCCCCCCTAGTGCTGATCCCCCAAAACTGAGCCGTCCCCAAATCCCTATCCCCCAGTGCCGACCCCCACCAATGACGCAGGGATGGAGTAGCTTTGGAATGGGGTGACCCTGGCATGGAGTAACCCTGGGATAGGGTGACGTCAGAATGGAGTGACCCTGGAATGGGGTGACTTTGGAATGGGGTGACCTTGGAATGGGGTGACCCTGCAATGGAGTAACGTTGGGATGGAATAACTCTTGGATAGGGTGACCCTAGGATGGTGTGACCCTGGAATGTGGTGGTGCCACACAGGTGGGCACAGAGACTCCACTTGCCCCCTGTGCCCCCGATACCAGTGACTTACCCCCGTCCTCGCAGCAAGGGGTGATGGGGATCCCCCGGATCCCGTGTTCCTGCCAGCGGAGCTGGAAGTTCTGGGGGTTCCCGAGTACTACCGGCTGCAGAGGGTGGACCAGGACGTGCCCCCCAACTCCTCCCTGCACTCCCGCTCTGAGACATTCCTGCTGCTCCGGCAACGTGCTGGCTCCCAGGCCCTGTTCCAGGCCACCTACCCCCCCTTCAGCACCCGCCAGGTAAACGGGACCCCTGGAATCCCCTGGACCATCCTGAGATGATCCTAGTCCTTGGGGTATCCCTGCTCCCTAATTCCATCCCTGTGTCCCTGCAGGACATTCCCATGGAGAGTCCACCTGGCTCAGCATCCTGGGCCATCCGTGCCGTGTCCCTGGAGAGCTCCGTGTCCCCTGCCGAGCCCGTGGCTCGCGTCCTCTTCCATCTGCACGGGCCCGACTGGATGCCTGGGAAGCAGGATCACCTCGGGGTTCGGGACCACCCCAGGGTCCAGGATCAGCCCAGGAATTGGGATCACCCTGGGGTCCAGGATCATCCCAGGGAGCAGCACCACCCTGAGCAGCGGGACCATTCTGGAGACCGGGACCACCTGCGGCTCCAGAACCATCCTGGGGTTCAGGATCACTCCAAGGTCCCGGATCACCCCAGGAACCAGGACCACCCTGGGAACCAGGAGTCCCTCAGGAAACAAGACCACCCTGGAATCCGAGATCATCCCAGGGACAGAGACCACCCCAGGGACTGGGACCACCCTGGGGTCTGGGATCACCCCAGAACTTGGAACCACCCTACACCGCAGGACCCCTTGAAAGACCAGAATCCCCAGAAAGACTGGGATCACCCCAGGGCTCAGGAGCTCCCCTGCGTCACCCTGCATGCCCACCACCGTGGGCGGGTGGCCCGGGGCACGTGTCACCTGCAGGTCAGTGCCACCCCAGGGGGCCCCCTGCTGCCCCCCATCCCCACTAACCCCTGCCCCCCTTTCCCCAGGCCCCGCTGGGCGTCTGCGTGGTGGAGCTGGAGATCCCTCCACGCTGGTTCCTCCTGGGATCCCACCGGAGCCGCCGGAAGGATGGGGACACCCCCCATCCCCCCGAGCCCCCTGAGAGCCTTGAAGCGGCTGAGCTGTACTACAGCGTGGGGGGGCCGGGGGAGTGCGGGAAGGGGGGAGCGCCGCGATTCCTGGGAAGGCTGGAGCTGAGGGCGGGAGAGCCGGAGCGGCGGCAGGAGGTGCGGCTGGATGACAAGGTCCTGCTGGGCGTCCCCGATGCCACCCTGCGCCCTGGGCAGAGGTTCAGGGCCACCATTGCCCTGACCAACAACTTCACTGCACACGCCCTGACCCTCCGGTGAGACCCATGGGGGGCACTGCCGGGAGGGGACACTGTGGGACAGTGGGTGACACTGACAGCATGGGACACTGCGGAACACTGTGTGACAAAGAGTAACACTGTGTATGACAGTGTGACTGTGTGATACTGACACTGACACTGTGTGACTGTGTGTGACACTGTGTGACACTGACACTGTAATAGTGTGTGCACTGTGTGACAGGGAGTGACAGTGAGTGACATTGATACTGTGACAGTGTGCGACAGTGTGTGACACTGACATCGTGACAGTGTGGCATTGTGACAGTGTGTGGCACTGTGTGACACTGTGACTGTGTGACAGCATGTGACACTGTGTGACATTGTGTGACAGTGTGACACTGTGTGTGACACTGTGTGATGATGTGACACTGTAACATGGGATCCTCCCCAGGATCAAGGCCAAGAAGGGGCTGCAGGTGGTGGCAGCCCATCCCGCCATTCCCAGTGCCTGGAGTGCCCACCTGGAGCATTCCCGGGGTCCCAAGCACTCCCTGGCTGTGGTGATGTGCCGGCAGATTGGGGACATCCCTGGCACCAGAAGGTAGGAGGTGGCACAGTGTGTGGCAGTGCCCCATTCCAGTGTGTCCCAGTGTGGTCCCAGGAGCCCCCCGTCCCTTGCCCTACCCCATCCCAGTCCATCCCACCTGGGTCACGGTGATTCTGATCCCAGTGTGGATCCACAGAGTGTCCGACTCGGCCGCATTCCTGCACCTGGAGCTGGTTGTGGAGAACGGGACAGGGGGCCCAGCACGGCCCCTCACCTGGCAGGTGGAGTATCCCGGCCAGGATCCTGAATCCCAGAAGGACAAACTGGTGTGGGAGATCCAGGTGGCAGAGCGGGAAATCCGCGCCCTCGTCCCACTGGTCCAGGTGGGCGTCGTTCCCTCTATCCCCCCATCCCGTGGGAGCGTCGGCTCATCCCTGCTGTCCCGCCAGGAGCTGGAGATCCTGAACACAGCCCCACTGACAGGAATCCCGCGGGTTATCCCAGTGAAACTGGTGGCTGTGGAAGCGGGAGGCAGCGTGTCTGAGCTGGCCGATCCCGTGGGATGTGAGTCAGCTGACAAACAGGTGCTGCAGGTGAGCTCCTGGCATTCCCACAGCAACCCGCCCTGCCTCACCGGCCAGATCCTCCTCCCCTGGCACTCCCTGTGCTTTTCCAGGTATCGGATTCCTGTGACATGGTGTTCGTGGGGGGCCGGGAGAGCCGGGGGGCACGGGGGGCCCGCGTGGATTTCTGGGCACGGCGGCTGCACGCGGAGCTCGCCTTCTCTGTGTGGGCCCCGCTGCTCCCACTGCGCGTCCAGCTGGGAGATCCTGCCCTGGAGCAGCTCCGCGGCTGGAGGAGGCCCAGCAGTCCCGACAGGTGAGCGCCCGGAAGTGTCCCCGTGTCACCGGGATGGTGGGAAAGGGGCGAGGTGGGAGCAGGGAGGGGAAACCTGAGGTGCTTGTGACACGTGTGTCTGAGACCAGACACAGCCATGACACGTGTCCCCATCCCTCTGAGCCCTGTGACATTTGGGACATGTGTCCCTGTTCCTCTGAGGCCCCACTCAGTCCCACATCCTGAGATTCCTGTCCCCTTGCTTTGGGATCCCTGTCACCTTGTCCTGGGATCCCCCTTACCCTGTCCCAGGATCCCTGTCACCTATCCCGTGATCCCTTATACCCCTGTCTTGCAATCCTTATCCCTGTGCCCCAGGATCCCCATCCCAGGATCCCTGTCCGCTATCCCATGATCCTTGTCACCTCTTCCACGATCCCTGTCACCTCTGCCCCGCTCCCTGGCCCCCCCTTCTGCTATGCCTGTCTCCCAGCTCTCCGTCGGAGGCTGAGGATGCCCCGGAGGAGCCGGAGCGGCGGGCGCGGAGCTGCCGCCCGCAGTTCCAGCGGACGGGGGTCCGTGTCCTGGCCCACTTCGTGTCCCACCCGCCGGACGGGGGCCGCTCCCTGTCCTACCTGCCCGGCCCTGAGTGGCTCCTGGACGTCACCCACCTGGTGGCCCCCTGGACCCGCGTGCAGGATCCCCGGGTGGCCTCGCTGGAGGGGGGTCTCGTGGTGGTGGGCCGGGAGCCCGGGGTCACCTCCGTAGAGGTACAGTGGGGGTGGAGGCTTTTGGGGGTGGAGGGGGGTCCTGGGGGCAGAGAGAGGGAAATGAGGGGCTGGAGGGGGGCCTGGGGAGTGTGGGGCCTGGAGAGATGGAGACAGGAGGCTGAAGAGCGTCCTGGGGGCAGTTTGGGAGGTCCTGGGGGTAAACTGAAGGTGCTGGGACTGGAGAAATGGAGATAGGGGTTTGGAGAGGGTCTCGGGGTCCTTGGTTGGGATTTTGGGGGTGTTGGGACTGCGGAGATGGAAACAGGGGGCTGGAGGGGGTCCTGAAGGCAGAGGGGAGCCAGGGGAGTGCAGGGACTGGAGGGAGGGGAGGAGCTGGTGGGCGGGAAGGAATCCCAGAGGGAGCAGGGCGGGATGCGAGGGCCGGAGGGAGGGAACTGGGGTGTCCAGGGCAGGGGTGGGAAGGGACACAATGAGGGGTGTCAGGGGGTCTCACAAGCCCCCCCCTCCGGCTCTACCCCCAGGTGCATTCCCCGCTCTCCGACTCCATCCTGGGGGAGCAGACGCTGGTGGTGTCCGAGGACAAGGTGACAGTGACAGAGCTCTGTGCCCAGGTGGTGGCAGGGCTCTCCTTGTCCCTCCGGACGCACTCGGACCACCCTGGCGTGGTCACCGCCACCGCCCTGGGGACACCCACCCTGCGCGCCCTTAAGCAGGTGAGATGGGCTGGGCAGGGTCCCTGGGCGTTCCCTAAATCCCATGATCTGCTGCCATCCAGCCCGTTATCCCAGCAGGAAGCCACGCTGTCCGTCTGGTTGTCCTTTTCTGACCGCACGTTGGCCCCGCTAGAGCTCTACGGGTGGCACGATGTGGCCTTGACCGTGACGTCCCTGGATCGCTCCGTCGCCACTGTCGGGGGGTCTCCTGGCGTTCCTGCTTCCCACCCGTGGGTGGTGGCAGAGGGGCCAGGCCAGGGGGCTCTGCTGCAGCTCACCCTGCACCCTCCGGACACGTGCCGGCGTGTCCGGCAGCGCACGGCCGCGCTGGCCACCGGCACCGCCTGGCTCGAGGTGGGACACCCCCCGACTCCTGGCAGTCCCCGGCCCTTCCCACGGGCCGAAGGGGCCATGTCCCGGGAAGCAGTGACGGTGGGGCGTGGGGACCCCGCGGGAGTGGGGCCAGCAGCCACCAAGTTCCAGGGATCCTCCTCCTCGGAGGAGGAAGAGGAGGAAGGTTACGGACACAATCGCGTGGAGGGGGAGGAGGAGGAGGAGGAGGAGGAGGAGATGGTGAAGGCCCCGGAGCGGGTGACCGACCTGGAAATCGGGATGTACGTCCTGCTAGGAGTGTTCTGCCTCGCCATCTTCATCTTCCTCGTCAACTGCATCTTCTTTGTGCTGCGCTACCAGCAGAAGGAGCTGCCAGAGCCGGGCGGGGCCCCCACGGCCCCGCAGCCCCACAACTGGGTCTGGCTGGGCACCAACCAGGAGGAGCTGAGCCGGCAGCTGGATCGCCGGGAGCCGGAGCGCCGGGAGCCAGAGTCGGCGGGGTGCAGCTGCGGGGGCTCTGCCGAGGATGGGACTCCCCCCAAACCGCCCGTGTCCCGCAAGGAAGGGGCGGCTCCAGGTGGGGGCGGCCGGAGGAAGCGGGTGGAATTCGTGACCTTCGGGCCCCCCCGCGCCCCTGAGGAACCCCCCCCGGCCTCCCCCCATGTCCAGTCCATCCTGGTGGCCAGCGAGGATGACATCCGCTGGGTTTGTGAGGATATGGGGCTGCGGGATCCTGAAGAGCTCCGGAGCTACATGGAGAGGATCCGCGGCAGCTCCTGAGCCTGGGGAACCCCACGATTCCTGGGCAAACCAGTAAGGGACTGACTTCCTCCCCATGCTGCACTGGGGGGACACCAATCCCAGTTCTGGGCGTGCCAGGAATCGCTGGCGACTCGACCAAGAGGCTGAAGGAAGAGTCTCCAGAGTTTTGGGGATGCTGGCAGCTCCGGGGAGGAATTTGGGATGCCCTTACTGCTTTGGGTCTCATTGCGACATGGTGTTCATAGTGCTGCTGATGATGATAGTGGTGTTGATTCCTGTGGTCTGATCCCGGTGGGATCCTGGTTCTCCTGCTTCCTCCCCTCCCCCCCAGTCCCTTCACCCTGGCCACGCATCCATTTTGTACACATTTTTTACCGGGAACGCCCGGGAAGGGGCTGCCAGGGGCTGGTATTTATGGAGAAGTTTTTAATTCTGACGTTGTTACAAAAATAAAGTATTTAAAAAAGAAAAGTGGGAATTCCTCCCCTGCTCCTTGTGGCATCTCCTCTGATCCCGATACTGGGACCCATCCTACTCCCATGGTAGTGTCAGGCTTCCAGGAATGGGAACGTGCCCTTGACCTTGGATCCACGTGGGAGCTGGTCATGGGAATGGATCCTGGCCCTGGCCCAGCCGGGGTGACCTTGGGATAAGGGATCTCCTTCCTCCCTCTCCTGCCATCCACCTCCTCCACCTTCCAGCCCCAACACCAACCTGGTCCTGAGTCTCCTCCCACCCTGACCTACCCAAATGTCCCCTCTGGAATTGGCCAGAGGAATTGATTCCCCCTTTATTTTAGGTTACCATGGAAATTCCCACCCTTTTTCCAGCCTCTCAGTGATCCCAAGACACTCCCAAATTGCCCTGGTGGTAGCAGAAAACCCCCTCCCACACCCCATCACCCTGATCCCAAAGCTTCCCAAAGCTTCCCTAAACCCCACTGAGATGGGGTGATCCCAGTCCTGTCCCTCTTTCAGGGCATCACGGGTCTCCAGGTGGCCATCTGGATCCAAGCCCTCAGCCACAGTGGGATCAACATCTCCTGGGATGTCCCAGCTCCCACCCCATCCCTCCCCCACCAGGTCCATCCCATCCCTCACCATGTACCCCCTGGAGGGTCCTGGGGTGGTCCTGGATGTGCTGGAAGTTGCTTGGGACTGGAAGTGACTCCATCCAGAAGGCAGCGGGATGGTGGCTCTTTGGGATCAACTCCTGAATGGATCAGATCCTGGATGGATCTACCACTGCTTGTCCAGCTTGGAGCCCATCCTGGAAGCAGAGCATCCAGGCTGGGATGAAGGTCAGGATCCAGCACAGGATCCAGGCAGGGCAGGATCCAGGCCCCATCCCAGCTCCCCTTCTGGCTTCCCTGGGAAGCATCTCGAAGGATTTGGAGCTGATCCATAGGGAAAGGTGACACATTTGTGGGGTCACCTCACACTGTGCCCTGCAGGTATCTCCTCCCACCCACTTCATCCCTAAAAAAAAGGGGTGGAACTTCATCAGCCTGGAAGACCCCAAATCCCCCCCCGCCCCATGTCATCCCAAATCTGTGACAAACGAGCCGCAGATCCTGGTGGCTTCAGTGGATCTGCTTTTCCCGGGGTGGGATCCCCAGGTCCACGAAGTTCCCCTGCCCTGGAGGGGCTCCCGGGCCTCCGACACCCCATTTCCTCCCTGCCGGCAGCAGGATGGGGCCACCCCATAGCACCTCGTGATGCCAACCCGGCTTCCTCCTCTCCGCCACAGTCCCGGAACCACTGGAGAGAGAGACCTCCCGCCCCGAGAGAGGGACCCCCAGACTCCCCGCCCTGATCCCGAAATTCCATGGGGTTGCTCTGCTGAAGGAATGAGGGGGCTGTACCTGCTCGTGGTGGCTCTTTCCACCGTGGTGCCCAGACAAGGTACGTCGCCAGCCCCAGCCTGTCACTTCCCAGACTTTTATTTGGGAGCTTGGGGTGCTGGGTCCATGGATTTTGGGCTTGGGGGCCTGCCACCTTCCCAGGATGGAGGTCCTGGGGCAGATGCTCCAGTGGTGGCTCCACAGCTCCTCCAACCCTCGCTGTCCACTGGGAGCGAGGGAAGGGGTTCCCTAAAAGGCAGTCCTAAGAACTGGGGTCTCCTCAGGATGAGGGGCCCCTTAAAACACCCTGAGGACCCCAAAAAATGGAATCCTAAGCCCCTAAAACGCCCTCAGAGCTGTCTCACCCACTGGCCCTGTGGGATGCTGCAGGGACAAATCCCATCCTGTCCCTCCTGTCACCCCTGGATCATTTTGGAGTGTGATCCAGCCTTTCCCACCCCTTCATCCCACCCAGATTTGGGGTGGTTTGGGTTCTGAAATGGCTGCCAGGAGCTGCCTCAAGGCCTCGGATCGACTGGGGAACGGGCCCCTCACCCCCATTTCCGCTCCTCCTCTCACCACCACCCCCACAGAGCAGCTCACTCCTGTTTTTCTCCCTCATCCCTGCACTTTTCCTTGATCATTTGGACTCCAATCCATACCCCACCAGCTCCCTGGGATCCCCACTCAACCAGCCCCCCCGGAACAGGGAGAGACACCTCGCTCCTGAGAGATCTCTCACCCCAGAGGCCAAATGGGTAATTTTCCCAGGAATATCCAGAGCTTCCACTCACCAGTGGCTCTGGGATAGGTACAGCCCCTCTGTGTCTGCAGGGATGAGCCAGAAAGTGGGAGCAGACCGAATGCGTGAGGACACCCCAAATTTCAGCTCTTCCATTGGTGAGTTGCATCCCAACATTCCCATAATTAAGGAAAAAATTCTCCAAGTGGCCTTTCTCCCCACAGCTCCTGCAGAGCCGACAGAATCTCCCAGTATTCCAAGCAGGAATGCCTCGGTGACACCAGGTGAGTGTGGGAGGGTGAGGAACATCCTTAGGAACACCCTTGCCCCCACTTTTTAGTGGGGAGGGGGCATTGGGAACATAACCAGGTCACCATTCCCGGTGTGTCTCCCAGATCCTGGAGCGCTCCGCTTGGCTGGTGGCAGGAGCCGGTGCGAGGGCCGCGTGGAGCTGGAAAAACAGGGAATATGGGGGACAGTGTGCGACGATGGATGGGACATTCCCGATGCTGATGTTGTGTGCCGGCAGCTCCGGTGCGGCCACGCTGTGAGTGTCCGTGGGAATTCTGCCTTTGGCCGTGGGCACGGCCCCATCCTCCGGGACGAGCTGGGATGTCGAGGGCACGAGAGGCATCTCTGGGAATGCCCGGCCGCACTGGAGCACGACTGCAGCCACAAAGAAGACGCTGGCGTGGTTTGCTCAGGTGGGTGTGGGAATATCCCAGCTCCAGCAGGGAGGGGTGCGGGAGACACATCCCTGTGCTTTCCTCCAGAACACCAGGAGTGGCGGCTCTCCGGAGGCTGGGATGGCTGTGCTGGCAGGTTGGAGGTGTTTTTCCGTGGCACTTGGAGCACAGTGTGCGACAGCACCTGGTACGGGCCAGAATCGGCGGTGCTGTGCCACAGTCTGGGATGTGGGATGCCGCTCAAGAAGCTCTCCTTCAGACACACGCTTCCCGGGAAGATGCTGTACGAGTGTGGGAGCCTCCAGACTTCCCTGGCATTCTGCCGCTGGACCTTCAACAGATCTGCTCCCTGCCACCAATCTCGGGCCGTCGGGGTGGTCTGCAATGGTATGGCATCTTCCTGCTGGGATCTGGGAGGGAATTCCTGCCCCCTGACATCCCTGTAATCTGATTTCTGTTCCCGCTCTCCTCTCCAGGCTCGCAGGGTTTGCTGGATCCAACACCCACGGTTGCAGTGACAACCAGGGATGTCACTGTCCTGCGGGGTGAGTGTCCTGCAATCCCTTCCTTCCCATTACAGGGAGGAAGGATTTAGGTGGGAATGACTTGTGTCCATTCTTTGTCCCAGCAGAGGAAGGGTCTCCAACTGTAGGGACACAATTCCCGTGGGATAGTCCCCTCTTCATCCTGTGCCTGGTGCTGGGAATGCTACTCCTGCTCTCCGTGCTGGCCTTTTCCATCTCTCTGCTGAGGCTGAGGAAGAGGAGCAGTAAGGAATTCCAGACCCGGCATGAACTTGGGGCACGCATTCCACTTTTTGGGCTCAGCTCAGCTTTGCATTCCCATTGCCCCCACAGCCATGGGAATAACCACTCCAGTCCTGGTGACCCACAGCTCCCAGAGCCCTGACGTGCCCTCCGGGATTCCCAATGACTACAGGGAGATTCCCACCAACCTTCCCAAAGGATCAGGTGGGTCTGGCAGGTCACCTCCAGGGGGTGTGAGGATGGGGATTCCAGCTGATGGGAGGTTCCCCATCCCATTCTCACCCCCCACACCCACCAGGCACAGCCCTTTCCAAGGATTCCACCTCCGATTCCGACTCAGAATACTACGAGTTCAGCAGCAAACCGCCTGTTGCCCTCTCCACCTTTTACAGTGAGTGTCCTGTTCCCTCTGGAATTCCCCTCACCCTGCCCTAGGAACGTCTGTCACTCTGCCCAGGGTCCCCATCACCATGCTCCAGGATTCCCACCCCCTTCTTCCTGGGATCCCTGTCTCCCAGGGTACTCCCACTGCTCTCCCCTTCCCAGACTCGCTGCGCCGGCATCCCAGGGAGCAGCTGCTCCCACCGAAGCCCAGCCAGGACAGGATGCAGCCATTCCCTGAGGATGGTATGGGACAAGGGGGGTCCACCCATGGATGAGGGGCGGCTCCTCCCTGTTCCTACACTGGATGTCCCTGTTCCCGCAGCACCTGCCAGGATGGGCCCCCCATTCCCTGGGAGGAAGAACAGCTTCTCCAGCTCCTCCTCATCCTCAGCTACGGATCCCTGTTGGAATGGCAACGTCCCCTCCCAGCACAGCTGGGGCACAGGTGGGCCCTGCTGGAGGGATGTGTGGGAGCAGGAATGGGAGAGCCCTGGGAATGGGAATAGGGATGGAGAAACCCTAGAGTTGGGAACAAGGAAAGTAGAGATCCCAAAGGTGGGAATAAGGGATGAGAACAGCCCTGGGGAGGGGAATGAGGGTGGGGGTACCCCAGGGAATGGGAACAGGGATGGAGGTCCCAGTAAGGACCTGTTTCTCCCAGTTTCCTCAGCAGCTCCCAGCGTTCCCACCCCAGTGGCCTCCCCGCTCTGGGTACCTCCGTGTCCAGCAGATCCCGATCCCGCTGGCAGCTCCAGCACCTCCTCAGGGGAGTGGTATGAGAATGTTCCAGGCATGGAGCCCTCTGGAGACCCTTCCCAACATCCCAGTGAGGATCTCCTGCTGGCAGGGGGGATATGGGGACTCTGGGATCCTCTGCTCTAAAATCCTGATGGGCTGTGTCCCTCCAGGCTGGATGGATCCCGCGGGACAGGATCCCAATTTCTCCGAGGGCAGTGACTACGATGACATCCAGGGAGCCTCCTACTGAGCCTTTCCCGCTGCTCCAAGGGGACACCTGGCCGAGGTCACCATTCCACTGCCGGCATCACCTCTGGAATTCTCCAGCCATCCCTCTGTGCTGTCATTAAAAGCTTTTCCCACTGTGTTCCTTGTCCTTCCATGGGAGTGACTCGTCACCATTCCCACAATGGGGCTGGGCCACCGAGTGTTCCCAGTTGCCCACTGGGATGTCCAGATATCCCATTCCCAGCCTGCAGGGATGGGGGTGGCAGGGACCCCACCCAGCTCTGGGAGTGGAAATGACACCTCAGGAACTGGGGATATGGGGGGTTTGGTGCCCCACAGTGTCCCTCCCCTCCCAGGAGGTTCCCTGCATCCCACTGGGACACAGTCCCCATCCCAGGGGGATGCTGGAGCCAAGCACACGAGGCCCCTGGTGGATTTGGGGGGGGGTACAGCACCCACCCCTCACCCCAGAGCTGGGACTCCCACTTCAGAGGACTTCCCGGCATCCCAAAACCCCCTTCTCACAGCCCACCCGAACCCTGCAGAGCATCTCCAGCCTGGCTGGAGGGGGGGAGGACTGGGGTTCATCTGCACCCCCCATGGAAAAAGTGGCCCCCCCACATCCTTCAGGTGTTTACGGAGCGAGAGGCCCCGACAAAGCAGCCGCAACAACGGAGGAAATCCCAAAATAGCAGCAAAACCCCGACAAAGGGAGCAGGGCAGGCGAGGGCTGAGAGCGGGGCGGGCACGGCGGGGGGGGAGGGGGGTACCCCCTGCCCCTGTGCCAGTCGGGTGGAGTGGGCAGATGGCACTGGGGACTTTGGGATCACTGGGATCATCCTGTGGATGGGCAGCCTCGGGGTATCGGTGACCTAAGGGGGTTTGGTGTCCAGGGGTCCCAAAGCCCTGGGAGGCACCAATTCCCTGGGAGTGGCACAATCCAGCCCCTGGGCCCACAGGGAATGTGCCACCTCCATCCCCACACGGGTGCCAACCTTTGTCTGAGCTGTTCCTGCCTGGAAAATGCCCATTTTTCATTCTGATCCCAGCAGGTGCTGACGGCAGACGAACCCATCCCTGCTCACTCCAAAGGCAGCTCCTGCTTTTTAAAAGGCTCCTGCTTTTTAAAAGGCAGGAAATGTGTGCATGTCCCAAAATCCCCCCTGGGAAGGGATTCTAAGCATCTCAGCTGTCATAGGATGCTGAGCTGACTCCCAGCGTCACCAGCAGCAAGAGGGATGATCAGTGCAATTCCAAATCCTGTCTGTGGGATTCCAGGGCTTCCACAGACAGCCAAGGCTCCGAGGGAAAGGCTGGATCCCAGGCATCCTATATCCATAGGGGTCACAACACCCTGGATAACATGGATCTTTCCTAGAGGCAAAGTATCCCAGGATGCCTGGGGGGAATCCCCAATTTCAGGTCGATTTGGGGGGATTTGGGGCTTGGATCCTGCACAAAGATCTTCCTGGCTGAGTCCTGTGGGAACGGATCTGGGAATTACACCCCTTTTCCAGGGAATATTCAAAGCTGAGCAGGGTGGGGGCCAGCTCCAGGTAGGACATCCCAACAGGGCTTCCTCCTGCCACAATCCCAGTTTGGGGGGCTCAGCAGGACCCCTGGGATAACTGGGATGGAAACAAGCAGGAAGTTCAGGGAGCACCCAGGAAACTCCCAGGGGAGCTGAGATCCTGCTCCAGGGTGGGGGATTGGACCGGGAAGGGAAGGAAAGGGAAGGGAATTTCCATACTCCCATTCCTGCTTCCCAGGCACTCTCCTTACAGCAGGAACACCACAGGATCAATGGAAAACAGCCACCTCATTAACATGCATGACCTGGATTTGGAGGAATTAATTAGGGCCCAATCAATTAACACCTCTGTCTCGCCCTGGACCAGCCCTGCCGACATGGGGCATCCCTGGAATGCCAGAAACCAGGATATGCCTGGATAAACCCTTCCCTTGTCCCATTCCCAGGGGGTTTCACAGTGTTTTAGGTGGGCACTGGCTCCTCCTCAGCCCCGAAGGGTCGTGACCCCAAACATTCCCTCAGCACTGGATATATCCACCCCCTCCCCCTTCCGGAGATGTGGGAATCCTGGGATTTGGGGAGGGGGCTGAGCTGCCCCCCAGGTTTCTCCCCTCCTTTTTGGCGGGACCTGGGGAGGCAGCTGAGCCTTGAGACGGGCACAGCCGTGACGTCAGGAAACCACAGAGGGAGGAAAAACAGCCGGTTCCTGCCTGGGCCCCCCTCCCTCGCCTGCTCCAGGCCGGGCAGCGGAGCCTCCGGAGCCCCCCGTGCCTCCCATCCCACCACCGGCACCCATGGAAGCCCAGCTGCCAACCCTGCACCTCCTGCTACTGCTGGGAATGTGGGGTGAGTACTGGGGATGCCCCCGGCTTGGGGCATCACTCACATCCCATGCTGGGACCTCCTGGTGGGTTTTCCCACCCGGGAATGTTTCAGGAGGGGGTGGTGGTGCCACCCTGGGTGAGGCCCAGCTGGGGGGGCTTGGGATGGGGATGGGGTGTGAGGAGGATGAAACCCCACTGGCACGACTCCAGGGCGCTCATCCCACCACAGCCATGAGCCCAGGGATGCTCCCCATCCTCATTCCAGCCCAGCTCCTGCCATTCCCAGCTTTCCATTGGTCCACATGGCACCTGCCCCAGCTGCTTGGCCATACCTTCCACCCAGGAGTGCAGCTAATTAGGGGGAATTAGCAGGTCTCTTGGCTTTTTCCAGCCCTAATTAAACCCCAGCAGATGGATGGACAGGCAGCAAACCCCTTTTCTCCCCCCCAAAATCCCATTTCTCCCACAAAACAACCGAGTGCTGGAGCCTCTGCCCCAAAATGGAGCGGCCCAGGGTGGTAATCAGGATTTACGCCCCACCCCTGTCTTTCTTCCAGCCATTCCTGACCATGGAGGAGCCACACGGATGCCTGCAGGTGCGACTGGGTGGGATAAACACCTTGGGAATCCCCCCATAGCTCCGGGAGTAAGCTGGATCAGGAGTTGCATCATCCGGAAGCGGCGCCGTGGGGTCCTGGCTCAGCCCCGCAGCTTTCCCTTCATCCACTCCCACTCCCATTCCTTGTCCCACTTTGTGAGATATCCCGAAAAAGGGCTTTCCTATCATTCCCAGGACGGTAAACTTACCGGAAAGGGAAGGGAAGCCCCCTAAATTCCAGTGTCTTCCTGCAGATCCCGGCCTGCGGCTCACTGGTGGTGGTTGCCGCTGTACTGGGATCCTGGAGGTAGGCTGGGAAAGCTGCTGGAGACGCGTGTGCCGGGATAGCATGGGAGAGTCCAACCTGGGTGAAACCTGCCGACGGATGGGCTGCGGCCCCCCCAGCTCTGAGCCCTTCCAGCTCATCATTCCCCGTGGGAAGGAGCCGTGCGCGCAGCCTGTGAGGTGCAGGAATCCAGAGGGAGCGCTGGGGAAATGCCACTGGGAGCTGGGAAACTGCACAGAGCACATTATTGTCTCCTGCAAAGGTGAGCCTGGACTCCAATCCCACTCACCTCAGACCCTAGGGATCATCCAGGCTGAGGGGGCTCCTTCTCTTCTCATTCCAGAGCCAGAGAAAACCACTCCCAAGCCTCCACTGGCACCTCTGGACACCACCCCAGAGCCCACAGGTAAGACCCCAATCCTGAGGGATCCAGCACCCCCACCCATCCCATCCCGGGCGACCCAAGGCCCCCATCCCAGGAGATCCATGCAACGATTAAACTGAAGCTTTAGGGACTTTCTCCTCAGTAATGGAAAGGAATCTCATCCCAATCCATAACGGATCGGGATGTGCTGCTCTTTCCCCCCAATCCCTCTCCAGCACTGCCCAGGCTGCGGCTGGTGGATGGGAATTTCAGCTGCTCTGGATTCCTGGAGCTGCACAAGGCGGGGCTGTGGGGGGCCGTGGCCAGGATGCCCCCCAACATCTGGGCACATCTGGGCCCCCGCATCTGCCGAGATTTGCACTGTGGCACCGCCGGGCACAGACACGGGGAGCCGGATCCTGGGATCCACCTGCCAGTGAGGTGGGAAGTGCTGGATCCCTGTAAGAGCCATTCCCTCCTGGAATGCTTCAACAGGACCAGCCCCCGGGGGAAAACTCCTGCCTTCATCACCTGCTCAGGTGAGAGTACACTTGGAGCATCCGGGCCTTCCCAGGGGGGTATCCCGGGGGAATTCCGGGTTCCTGCCCCACGCGCTCCATCCGCCCACACCTGCTCTTCCTCTCCGGGGTGCAAAGGCAAAACAGGAAATCTCAGCTCCCGGCGCTGCCGGAAGAGGATGAGCCGGGGAGGGAGAGGGGCCATGGCAGCATCCCAAATTCCAAACGGGAGTGGGAAACCCATGGACCCGCACCTCTGGGTGCTGCCTGGGAGAGTGTTCCATGCCTCAGGCATCTCCCAGCCATAGGCATCTCCCCATGGATCTGCCCCCTCTCTATGGATCTGACAGACCCGTCCCATTACCCCCAGACCTGTCCTGCTATCCCCAAGCCTATCCCATGATCCCCAAGCTGTCCCGTTATCCCAGACGTGTCCCAGTGTCCCCACAGCTGTTTCTGCTCCGTCCCCAGATTCCCAGCCGCGGGTGCTGCGGAGGCTGGGCTCTGGCCCCACTCCGTGTGAGGGAGACATCCAGGTTTTCCAGGGGGGCCAGTGGCGGGTGCTGTGTGACGACGGAGCACGGCGCTCCCAGCGCGGCCGCCAGCTCTGCCAGGAGCTGCACTGCGGGAATCTCACCTCCAGCGCCGAGATCCGGGAGCCCCCTTCCATGGGAGTCACCTGTGGGATCGACCCCCTGCACCTCTGCCATGGGAACCTTGGGAGCCTCCGGAGCTGCTCCCGGACCAGAGTCGTGTGTAAGGCGCCGTGCCGGGTGGGATCCGTGGGGTGCTGGGAGCTGGAATTCCCAGCCCTGTGGAATGGGCAGGGACGGGACACGCTTTGCCAGGTGGGATTCGGGCTCCTGGTGGATTTTCATGTCCCTGGGCACAAGGGTCTCGTCTGGTACCATCTGCC